TGGCATTATTTTGAAGGGTGGCAATATCACATGGTAATCTGTAAAAATTGTTATGTGAATCTAATTATATGTGATTTTTTATTGAGCTGAGTATTTTATATTTAATTGAAAGAACATAATAAATGTCGCCTAATATTGTCTTTCCTATTGCCAAATGTGATGTGTGTCGTTATTCTTTATCTTAATCATATAGGTATGAATCAAAGGAAAGGTATGAGACCAAATAACAAAAATGAAGTGTTTCCCGTCCCCGCCCGCCTCCTTTTTGTGGCACTTTTAATATTCAGAAGAAAAAAGCAACAAAAAAGGCGTGTAGTATAGATTTTATTTAAATAGCTTCTTAAATGATACACATCAATTGTTTTGTCATACATGCATCAGTATACTATTATAGCACAATATCTGTGAATAAATAGGCTCGGCCAGTTATATCTAGCATGGCAGCCATCTTGGGAAAAAATGGCTAAATAATCATTAGTAATGCCCTGCCCCCTCCTTTTCTTTTAAAAGTCCCGACGAGAAACACGTTATATTTGTTATTTGGCCTTATACTGACACAACTTCAGATTAACGTATACTACCATCTACTGTCAAAAAAAATGTCCCGATGTGTCGACTCCCATGTCCAGTGGCGGATCTAAGGGAGCCCCCTCCCCTGGCCCCCCAAACAGGTAAATTAAACCTTTTTTTGGAGAAAAAAGAAGACGGACCCCCCCCCCCCCAGCTCAAGGGGGGGGGGGAGGGGGTGTTGAGTAAAAAAAAATGCTCACTACCTTAACCCCCTTCCCCCCGTTGGGCACGAAAACAAAATAATACAGAGCTAAATATTTTCTCACGAATTGGGAGAAAAAATTAGTGCTCCTTACCCCCACCCCCCCGCTTATTGCTTAATATTTCCCACGTATTGGGCCCCCTAGTTAGCCCCCTCCCATGCCGCCGACTGGATCCGTTGCCCATGTCCCACTATACATCGCCCCCCCCCCCCTCCCCAGAAAAAAGAGAAAATCTTGATTAAGATTGGATTCGAGCACAGGCAAGGCTCGTGTACAAAAAGAATGAAAGAACCCCCACACCCTATAGCCCCCGCCCTATAAGCCTCCCCTTAATATTCTAGAACCAAGCCTGAGAGCATTCTTAAAGGTAATACAAAGTTTTGGGAAATTTCGAAAATTGGCTGGATAGTGAATCTTAACAATTTTGGTATATTTGGATGCCCCTGTGGATTATTATAAGCACTACAAAATGTAGCCCCTAAAACCCTTCTGCTAAAACCCTTCTGCTTTCGAGAAAAACTGTATATAAAAATTTACCGGTGCTCCCGGTAAATTTTGATAAACTTCAAATAGCGCCTACGGCCGTATAATGTACGTAGCTGCGACCATGAAACTATCAGAATATGTAGTTGTGATATATAATTTCCAAACGGGAATAGCTAATCGGTCGATTTTAGTCAAGAAACTTTGTTTTATAGTTAATTAATATCTTGACTTTGAGAGGGAGCTATACAACATAAAGAGTTCATAACTTTAGACTCAATTTCAACTGCGACAACGATCACTGAATATTGTAGGATCGCATACGCTTCCAATATGTTCATTTGAACCAAATTCATGATCCCATACCAAAACTTTGTATTACCTTTAATATGGCTACCATAACAAAATCTTGAATCAATGCTATGCGATTGTGTCGTGTATTCAGCAGTGCACAATATCAGACAAGACAGCAATAAAACTTTTGGCGCCACATCCCGTGACATCAATCTTCGTATCGCGTCTAAAAATAGCTGTGATAATGGTGGCGGTACGGTGTCGGGTAGCATAACCATGGAAATTATTCTCATTGGCCATAAATATTCCGAATTAATGCGTTTCATATGCCATAGTATTGTGTATGTATTCAGCAGTGCACAATATGAGGCAAGTGTACCTTTGCAAAAAAATAAAACGTCTAGCCACATCCCGTGATATCAATACGGACATATCGCGTCTAAAAATAGCTATGATCGGATGGCCGTATGGTAATGTAGACTAATCATGCATGGAAATTGTTTTCAGTGGTCATATTTGCATTTGAATAGCAGGTCAGGCGGGGGGGGGGGGGGGGGGGGGGGAGGGGAGAGTTAATGAATAAATGCAGTCGATGTGTGTAATGTACTACGTGTAGTACCACTCCCCTATATTGGACTCTATATTATATAGGCAGGCCGGCGGCGATCCTGGTGGATAGGGGAGCTATAGTCACGCCCTTAGAAATATTTCATGGGTATATTTTTAAAAACCGAGATTGAAATCGGGACACGTCATAGAAATCAGCGCCATCATTTGCCTGCACTTAAGGGAGGCGGTACAAGTGGGGGATGCACCAACTAAAAATGGCACTTCCTTTAAGAAAGGCCAGTATTCAAATAGTTATCTTAAAGTTTTAAAAAAATACAATTGTTAGACGATGTTTTATAATTCTACGTTGTAATTAATACATTAACGTTGATGATGTTCAACATTTTCTCTTTACGTGACCCATTATACTGCGTCACTTAACAAATACATTTCTGCTTTTAGTTATGTGTGATTTTCTGAAGATTCATTTGCGAGCGAGCAAAAAAGAAAATTGAAATTTGTGAGGTCGCATTACGACCCATTACATTTTATTATTTAGATGAAATCACCAACCATGATCAGATTTTAAGCACAATTTCATAATGAACTAATGAACAAGACCCTTTTGTGTAGGGGCACATGTTTAAAGGAGTCTATGAGCAATTTATTGTCTCGGGGGAGGTAAGGGGTGATCATCTTGTCAAAGACCGTTTATGAAATTATGATTGTCTCATTTTATGGTTTTAGTTTGAATACTCCTTCATGGCTTGAACCTTTATATTCTTAAACAAAGGGCATTTGATTAACTAATTTGTATTCTATGAAGTTCAAAAGGGCGTGGGTTTTAATGAGAATTTAGAAAATGCCTATAAATTACGGTAGTTTAATAGGGTTAACGTTTAGTGTTTAAAAAAGAAGAAGAAAAAAAAAAGGCAAACTTATATAATTAAAATGACTTTTCTAATTATGATACAACTGAAAACGAACACGAGTATTCTAAAAAGGGGCACAACTCATTCACATTTGGAGCAGTGTGCCCCCCCCCCCCGCCTACTGCCTTTCATCGTGGTGATCGGAAAAGGGTATACCTGTTACTACACGTAGTTTCTCCGAATCTTTGAAACATAGGGAGATCATAAGGGGTACTTAAAGGGCGGTAAAAAAACGAAAAGGAGCACGCGCCAATGTAAAAAAGGGACACTTATCGGAGGGGCAATCCCATAAAAAGGGGGCACTTAGGGGAAAGTTGCCTTTATTCAAAGTTAAAGGGGCATTTAGATTTGTTTAGGAGCACTAAATATCAGAGGTGGAAAGGGGCATTTATTAGAAAGGGAAGGGGCACTTATTTATAAATAAACAGGATAAGGGCACTTATCAGAAGGGAAAATGGTATCAGAAAGTAATCACTTCTCGCACCTAAATTCATCAGATGTCCTTACATATGAAAAAGGGTACCTACTACCTAGCTGAGTATCATTATAGTTCTCCTCTAAATCAAAAAGATAAGTGGTGATAGATTTGCAAAATCGACTGATTTATTATCATTTTTTTTTATTACATTTTCCATTCAGCTATCTTATGCCGCGTAGACACAACACACATACCATACACACTCTGAAAGTATAGTATAGTCGCTGGTGAAGTAAGCAACTTGGCGATCAGTACATATATACGTTCCCGTGCGTACTAGTGCGTACGCCCGTGTGTTGCCCTCAACCCGCGCTAGAGTAACTTTACGTATATAAAGTTATAAATGGGAATTTTTGACAAGTGGTGTTTCCGTAGTGTAGTGGTTATCACGTGAGTCTAACACACTCAAGGTCCCCGGTTCGAGCCCGGGCGGAAACTCTTTTGCTTTGCATTTTCTTCTTTCAATTATCTTTAAAAAGTTATTTCTCATGTTTTTTCCCCTAAGGTTACCTTTCAATACTGATTTTTATGAAAATGGTAATAAAAGCGACTTAAAATTCATACACGAAAGTGGTTATCTGTAGTTATGCTCATATAGGTCTAGTAGGTCTATTGTTATAATTTCTCGGGAAATAATCAAATACTAAGCTGCAAAACGAGTATACATCAACCATCATGATGGGATCGAAAGCTTTGGAGTTTGGATTTGTGTGAAAGTCAGGCTTTTTCATAAGATTTAGCTTTACTGTTAAGCATTTTTATATTGGTTGACAAGCTCACTAGGCCAGATATTGCCATTATATCGCGGACTATAGTATAGTGGCCGACTGTTATCATCTCAGTGTATTTATTTGTTAGACTTAGAGAAATGCATGACGGTACTGTCATCTATACAACAGTTTTCATGATGATGATGATAATTAAGATGATGGTGATGATGATAATAATGTTGTTGATAATGGCAAGTGATAATTTTTTGGTAGCTGACATTTCGAAAACAAAAACCATGCTAACCCGAAAACAAACGAATATTACTAACAAGCTATGAAATGTATAAACATAATTCCTTGCTTTTAAGTAAGTAGAAGTAATTATTTCAAATTAAACATTCATGAAATTAATCCATACGCTTTAGGCCTAAATTTATTATGAGCAGCATACCAGCAATATTTTGAAATTGTGCAAAATTTTGTTTGTTTGCTCACAGCTACCATCAAAACAAGGTCCGTCGCGATCGATCGCGCGCGGTACAGGAATGTTATGTGTGAACTACTACCGTACCGTACTTCGCAACTTTTCGCATCGTGGACATTAGAATCTAGATTTCTTTTGACAACCTCCCAACCGTGAATCCTTTAGAAAGATTGCTGGAAAATAAGGTACGTCTCAAGTTTGTCCCCAGTGACTCGGATGACGATATAGCCGAAACTATATAGCTTAATTTAACGTTTGTTTGTTAACGTGTGTGAATGTGTTCGACGATACGGTCGATAAGCCTGGCGCAGTTAGTGCGGTGACGGAGCCCGAGACGCTCGTGGCAGGCATGGCTATGGGATGGGAGGCCGTAACTCCGGCGTCGGAGCTCCAGAGCCTGAGCCTGCATAGGAAAACGATTAAAACAGCGGGTTGGGTCACATTTTTTCGAAATGTAAAGAAGTAGTAATTACAATTTTGGACTTACAATGTTCAACCACTTGAAATTATAATTTAAAGAAGCCTTCCAAGTTCCATGGGGAAAAAGAGTGATTCCTCTCTTAATTAACCCAATTCATCCTAGAGTCTAGTCTAGACCGAATTTTCCGTCTCTTTCGTTCGTTAGCCTCTTATTGGGGTAGGGTCGGCTCTCTCTTTAGAGGCTAACGAACGAAAAAGACGGAAAATTCGGTCTAAATTCATCCTAGAGTCTAATTCCTATGTTCACTTGACTTGTTGCATGTTGTATATCGTCGATTCAACATGGCGAAGAGAAAATGCGCAGTATGTGGTGTGGTGCTCTGTGCATGCGTAATTTCTCTTTGCCATTTTGAATCAACAATATTCAACATGGGTATTAATAGGACGAGGAATCGTTTACCTGTTATTCCCTCTGGGGAGTAGTTTCTATGGAGTTCTAAGTCGCACTAAATGTTATGTCCTTTGCAATAATAACACTTTTAGAGTCAGTGTGTGTTTCAATGCTCTGTTAACTATTCATCACCCATGGATTAAAGCTTATCTGCCGTAGTTTACAGGAGGGATTAAACCGCTCTATAAGGTCACTGGACAGGTGGTTATCTCATCAACTCACCTCTCAGTTAACATAAGAAAAAGAGGATCATGGGGGACCAATGGTCACCGATTAGGCATTGTTTGTTATATAGAGGGCGCAAGTAGCTACCCGTAGTGCAGTGGGCCTTTAATGCTCTTACTGTTAGTAACTTTCTCTTTACACATTTATTACAATATTTGACTCTAATAATTGTAGACCTACATGCAGTTACTGGTTTATTGAATTTACCCTCTTGTTTAAAATGCATATTTTGTAAGTTGTGAGCAATACAGCCAGCGTCTGCCATTCACTAAATGTAATAAACCATGAATAGGTCAATAAAATGTGGAATTTTCTCATTTTTCTGTGTACTATATGAAGGTCTATTGGGAGGATGAGTAGTCTTCGTGTCAGAGGTCAGAAGGTCGTGTTGCCTGAAGGGGTCGTGGCTCCAGCCATCATAGAAATCAAAGATGGAGTCATACAGGCCATTCACCGTTCAGATTTGGATCAGGTGCCCTGGAATCAAGACAGAGTAAGACTTTTTTACTATAATTTTTCATGTGGATCTATTCTTTTCAATAAGTGCAAATTTGTGATCTGTCATCATCTGTGTATAAGGCCTACAGTATTTTCTTATGCCAGGCTCCGCTTTTGAAGGTGTTGCCAAGGGCAATATGTTTTTCGGTCGTGAAATGCATTGGAGCAATTTTAACCAAACTGCATGAGACTGCAAGGGTTAACTGATTAGAGTTCAGATAAAGGGGTCAAAAGTGGAATATGATAGGGTCATGATTTTTTATATTTTAAATTGAATTAACCATTAACCAGAACTGCAGAAGGTGTTGCCGGGGGCATTATGCTTTCAGGTTGTCAGTTCCGCTTTTCGTTACAGCACTATTTCTCATAATAACTCTCCTTACAGGAACTGCTGGTGTAACCAGCTGTCAACTATCTGTTGATAGTTGCTATCAGTCCATTGCCTTGATGTTACCCTTTAGCTTCACTCTTGTGCTCCTGTGACCAGTTTAGTATATGTCTTGCAGCCTATGGGATCGCTGATCTCCGAAATAGCGGAGGAAGAACAAGATGATGATGATACCTGAACTGACTATTGTTTTCAGTTACACAATAAACACATACAAACACACACAGAAATCTGCCACTTTTTACAAAGTCTGTTTGTTCTTTTTGCAGGATATAGATGCAGGCCAAAATTTGGTAATGCCAGGAGTTGTGGACAGTCATGTACATGTCAATGAACCTGGTCGAACCCTGTGGGAAGGGTACAGGACTGCCACTAGAGCTGCAGCAGCTGGTGGAGTCACTACCATCGTTGACATGCCACTGTAAGTGTTCAAGGGATCCGTTAACTTTGTCTTAGATCCTTTAAAAAAATCCTTGATTTAGCTCATGCTGCAATGATAATTATAAACATTTAGGTCAGTCAGGAACCCCATGACTTTTACAAGCCGATCGCCTGTCTGATTATCAAGATATTTATGATTGAAAATCGAAATCAAATTTCCTGTTTGCCAAACGGTTTTCATAACACTACAGTCTATTGGAGAAAACAAGTATGGTATAACCGGTCAATCAAAGGTTTTCAATTTTTTGAGGCACTTCGTGATCATTTTGAAGCACAATTTTTTTAGGGCTTCAATATAAAACCATATCACAGACACTGATTACAGGTAGGGCCATGCATCTCAGATTTAACATAAACGATCCCTTTAAATCATAAGCACATACCCAACACACACACACTCACTTGCTCCCTCACGTACCAGCAAAAATATTTAAAAGAATTTAGAAAATACATTTCATTGTTCTATATATTGCAGTTCAACTGAGAATGGGTTCTCACAGTGCTTTACAAACAAAAGTAATGAACTTATAAAAGGAGAGCAGGTAGTTAGTTACATGTATATAAAAAAAAAGTAATTGCAACTAATTGTGTAGGAAATAAAACGGTAAAGTGACTCTCACACTCTGCCGTGTAGGCCTACCGTGTGCCACCGTGCGCGAAAATGTCTGCGGACGGTGGAGAATGGCGAGGGCACACGGTGGTTCGTTATCAAAGCGGGCAACACGTAAATAGGGCGTTGGCGCTTATTTACACCCGGTGGGACCGGGCGAAAATTTTGGGCATGTTCGAAACTTTGGCCGGCTGGCACCGGCCGCAAGTAAGCGGCAAGAGGACGGTGTTGAACGGTATGAGGACGGTATGAATACGTTATGTATGAAAACAGTCACATTGTATGAACACGTTCACAACACGCTCATAACCCGTTACAGAACGGTGATGAAAAATGGAGAGCGGACTGACCGTTGCAGTTCAAATCGGGGTATTTATGGCAGTCGTGTCATGACGTCAGCAGTCCGGGGACTCGCTCACAGGACGCTCCGAGCGGTGAGGGGACGCTAAGTGACTGGTAGGTGGCTGCTACAAACCCGGTGCACACGTTCGAGACCCGGTATGGGCCCGGTATGGAAACGGCCAAAATTTTCAACAAAAGTCAATCTGGGCGGTGAAGACGGTAGAAGCACGTTCAACACCCGGTATGCGCCCGGTGAGAACGGTCAGAAGATGGCAACGAAACGGTGAAAAGATTAATTTTATGAATTTTTTTTTGCGGCCGGGGACAAGTTCGCTCAAAACCCAACGTTCTGGACTTTTTTTTTTTTTAATAGCCGGGCAGGTGGACGGTAGGCCTACACGGCAGAGTGTGAGAGCTCCATTAGGAAGTTATAACAATAATAATAATGGGTTCTTATATAGCACTCATGTCAGTCAGATTTGACCCTCCTGGTGCTCCCGATTATTACCCTGACTTTAGCACGGCTGCCATACAGCGCTCTAGCATTTCAAGGAAAAAATTCCTACCAGGTACCCATTAACTTCGCCTGGGTGGAGTGTGGCAAATGTAGATCAATGTCTTGCCAAAGGACATTAGTGCGGCGGCGGGACTCGAACCGTGGACCTTGTGATCGACAGTCTGGCGACGTATCCACTCGACCGCAACACCTCTACATATCTATTATGTAATCATTTCGTTCTGACTGAGAGCAATGATTAGAATTATAAATGTACCGGTACATGAAATAACAAAGTAGGCAATAATACAAATCTCTGTGTTAAAGTAAAATACACATTTAAACAGTGAGCAATTGTCTAGCCTTGAATGAAAAGAATAAATAACACATTTCCTCTTTGTTTGTTTTTCCAGGAATAGCATTCCACCCACAACGACATTAAACGCATTCCATGAGAAGATGTCACATGCCAAGGCTTCATCCTATGTGGATGTTGCATTCTGGGGAGGAGTTGTGCCCCAAAACCAGGTAGGCAAAAACAAAGGGTCCTCACAATTCTGATAGCACACACTGGTGGTGTGTAATTCAAAAGATTGCTTTCAATAGAAGGGGTGTCCTAGTCAAGTGGTTTAATTACCTGGCTGGAAATGCTAAGGACAATAATATCAGCTTTTTGGTCCGTTTGTTTGTTTGTTTGTTTTTATTTATTTATCCACGGTTAAAAACACCTGCTATCAGCCACAAGGCTGTTTTTCAGCAAGTCCGTATGACAATATACATAAACAAAACAAATATAATTCATAATACAAATTAAAATAACAAGAATACACATGTGGAAATAACAACAAGAATACAAATGTCTAAATAAATAAATAAATAAATAAATAAATTCTTAATAACAAAAATACAAATGTGTAAATAACTCTTAATAACAATCAGAAATTTGAGGAGAAATACAATTTAGTGAAGTCACAAGCTCCTTATCACAAAACAAATCATCAGGTGTAGTTTAATTATTAGGCACTATAAAAGAAACATGTAGTGATTACTTTGCCCCTGTGGCAAGCGATGTTAATAAAACATATCTTAACTCTCTATAATTATGCCACACATACAGCTCTAAATGCCACATTGTATTTATCATGTGGTATACCAAAAGCCTGAACCTTTTTAATTGTATTTTTAATTTTTCAAAGTTCTTGTTATTCAATAAACGATGTTTCTTTATGTTCACCATTACAGCACGTAGAGAAATAACATTTGTGATATAATCATTTGCTTTACAAGAACTGTATCTTCCTTTTTCTTTTCTCACGGCCCAGTTTGACCTACGACCCATGATCCAGGCCGGTATAGCTGGGTTCAAATGCTTTCTCATTCACAGCGGAGTGGATGAGTTCCCTCATGTTACCGAGGAAGATCTTCATGAGGCCATGAAACAACTCAAGGGTACTAACAGCGTTCTTCTGGTAAATATCCAGCATCAGAGCTGCCAACTAGTATAGATTTCCCGTAATTGGCACGGAAAAGAACGATCATTACGGCAGTACAGAATGTTGTCTCAAATTGCGGATTAAACTGTGAATACATGTATGATTTATCGTAGCGAGTACTGTGCAGTATGGCAGCCATCCAACATTCGCTGATAAAGACGGAAAAGTATCAAGTATTCTCTTAATAGAAGCTTATTTTTCATGGAAAAGTGATGTGTTGCGATGACTTAAAAATCAATATTTAGCAAATTTGTGTGAGTAAAATCACCAAAAATTTCAGATAATCATGCGCTCATGCGTCCGCACAGTGTTGGCGTGCCGTTTTTTTAAAGATTCATAGCGCTGCCTAGGAAATTACTGATTTATTCCCAAAATTACTGTTCTTGAGGTTGGCAGCTCTGATACGTATATCATACATGTTTGCTGACTCAGTTCCCATTTCAGCAGGAGGAATCCTGTTTCGTGCCTTCAAACTAGTATTATGAACCCTATATTGCTTTCATTTTTTGGAAAACATCTGTATGAAAGCATGTAAAACACAAGGGATGTAATTTGGGCCTTGGAGATTACCAATTTTTGTGGTATTATCAGTAGTTAGGTTAGAGTTGACACATTAAGGGCAAAATGAATTTGAAAAAATTATCCACAAATTACAAGTTAAAGTTGTAATCATTATCACCCAAACACAAATTGGCAACTGTGAAGGGAGGTCCCTCTCCCATATGCTTTGTACAGAAAATTTCATAAATTCTTTAAGTTGTTGATAAATGATTTTTTTAATTTTTATACAGGGGTATTGTAGAAACAAATGTACAACAATTATATGTAAGGGGCATATCTATTGAATATGATTGAATTCTTAATTTGTTTTTAGACTAAGGGACAGTGCCTTGTATCCTCTGCAAAAGGCACTATATGAATCCATTTATTGTAATTACCATTCATAAGTATTATTATTAAGAATCTACATATATTGTGTTATAAGTATAACTTTATATTATTAAAGGCATTGGTAAGTAACCAATGTATGTCCCGTTTTACAAATCTGAGATGCATGGCCCTACGTGATATCAGTGTCTGTGATATGGTGTAACATTGAAGCCCTAAAAGAATTGCGCTTTAAAATGATCATGAAGTGCCTCAAAAATAAAAAATCTTTGAGTGACCAATTTTACCATACTCATTGTCCCCAGTAGACTAGTGTTATAAAAAACAGGCCAGCTGTTTTTGAAATTTCGAATTTCAGTCATAAATATCTTGATAATCAGACAGGCGATCGGCTTGTAAAGTCATGGGATTCCTGACTGACCTAAAAGTTTATAATTATCATTGCAGCATGAGCTAAATCCAGGGTTTTGTTTAGAATCTGAGACGAAGATACCCAATCCCTTTAAGTAACTACAGTATATATCGTCTTCTCCCTGTTTATTAACTCTAGTTCCATGCTGAGATGGAGATACCGATCTCTGAGCAAGCCCCAGAGGTGGACACGTCAGCTGAGTATAACGACTTCCTAAACTCCAGACCTAAACAGATGGAGAACAAGGCAATAGAACTGGTGGCTAAGATGTGCCTACAATACAGGTAAACATTTTGCTGGATGTTGAAAGAGGGAGGAAGAGGAGAAGAAGAGAGAGAAAGAGGAGGATAGATGGTCAAAGTGACGGAACAAAAGCTACTTGCAGAAGGGTAAACAGAGAAAAACAGAGATTATATGTCTTGAAGGAGAGAGAGAGATGCATCATTGCTTTTCCTTATTTTTGTTTGTTTTGTTTTGTTTTCACTTTTCCTATCGCACAGACTCATACTTCCTTAAAACTGAATAATTCATTTTAAACACCAGAAGTATATTGTAGTGTGACTTTCTATCATAAAGGTTCCAAAAAACAAAACAAAATCATTGGAATTTGGTTGTTAAATTAATCTTTTCAATCCTCATTAGAAAAGGAGACCCTGATTGGTGTGTACATGTACAGGACTGCCCTTGGCCCAGACATTTGACCTCTAGTTGCCTTTCTTGGTGTAATCCTGGAATGCTGTAAAAGTCTGAACTGTAACGGAAGCATAACTGAAGCTGTTAAATACTGGAGCAGCATTTAAGCAACTTATTTTAGTAGATGTTAGCATATTGTGAAACCTATTTATAAAGACCACTCAAGGGACAAAGTAAAAGTGGTCTTTATAGACAGGTTGTTTAAAGATAAAGTTGAGTTCTGAATATGCAATTGCATTGTGAAAGAAACGTTGTGTATAATCGATCAGAAAAGTTGATCATCTAGCATATAAGTATTGGTGTGTACTGCAAGGTTCTGGAATCTTCAAAATGATAAGAAATTTGGCCAAGTCTTGGTAAAGTTACAAGCCCTATTTATAATATTGAGGCATTTGAAGAGCCATGCTTTTCAGGGAACATTTTTCAGGTTTTACTATATTTGTTATCTTTACTATGGACAGGGTACCATGTCATATCGTCCATCTCTCCTCTGCCGATGCTCTCCCTATTATCCGCGATGCCCGTCGCCAGGGCGCCCCACTCACCGTAGAGACCTGTCATCATTACCTCTCTCTCAACGCAGAGGATGTACCGCAGGGAGGAACCCATTTCAAATGCTGTCCTCCAATCAGGGACAAGAACAACCAGGTAAGCAGGGAAAAGAATACACCCTGGGGCTCAGGGGGACTTTGCCCTCAAAGTGCCAAAAAGAGCCCCTGAAAGTCATAAAAGGTCTCCGAAAAAAATTTGCATGGAGTTCACTACAAAACTAAGCAATGCAAATTAAAGAGTGTTATTTTCATGCAAGCAAGCTTGAAAAGTAGCCTCCCCCCCCCCCCCCCCCAAAAAAAAAAAAAAAAAAAAAAAAAATTGCAGATAAGGTTTAAAAAATTCTACCACTCGTGCTTTTGGTCCCACATGACATGGTAATTAATATGCCTAATTAAATCTGCCCCAGAAAAATGAAATGATATAAGCTCAGTCAATTCTTCTGACATTTTTGTAGTGCATAATACACAAATAACTGAGTATGTTTAGGATCTGTGTAGTTACAATGATACATTATACATTCCTTGCCTGTCTCACCGTCTCATCTCACCTCTCTTTTCCTTTTCTCCATCTCTTTTTCTTTCCATTCTGATCCCTCAAATCCTAATGTTCTCTGTTATTTTTCTCCTCTTGTGCACTCAATTCCGGCAACATTTTTACTGGCACTATGTATATATACACCTTTCACCTGCACACCTTGGCATCCCCATGTCGCCACACACATGACCAATAAATCAAATTGAATAGAGTTCTCTCTTCCCTCGTGAACTTTGTAGGTTGTGTTGTGGGAAGCCCTCAAGAATGGCGACATTGACATGGTGGTATCGGACCATTCTCCATGCACTCCAGAACTCAAGCTTCTTGAACAAGGAGACTTCATGAAGGCCTGGGGCGGAATTTCTTCCATGCAGTTTGGTAAGAAATGCCAAGACACATTTCTCCATTATGAAGTCAAATGACTATGGATTGAAAACAAAAGATTATCAATTTTTGAACTACTTGAAAATGTTTTGACTGTATATACTATATAACATGAGGAGCAGAGCATCTGCAGAGAGTAACTGATATCCAGTATGTATTATATTTTGGAGCAAACACCATGAGTGCTTGAGCTGCAGGATACCAGCACTATAGAAGAAATCATTTATAGCCATTACTCTGTTTCTTCCTTAAAGGGATCCAGTAACTTTCTCTCTGATTTTGAAACAAAATCCTGGATTTAGCTCATGCTGCAATGATAATTATAAACCTTTAGGTCAGTCAGGGACCCCATGACTTTTACAAGCCGATCGCCTGTCTGATTATCAAGATGTTTATGATTGGAAATCGAAACCAAATTTTGCATTTGCCAAACGGTTTTCATAACACTATTGGGGAAAATGAGTATGGTAAAACCAGTCACTCCAAGATTTTTACTTTTTGAGGCACTTCTTTATCATTTTGAAGCACAATTTTGTTAGGGCTTCAATATTACACAAAATCACAGACACTGATAACACATAGGGCTGTGCATCTCAGATTTAACATTGTTAAATAATCCCTTTAAGAAATAATATTAATTACATTAATAATAATAATATTGGATGTTTTTATAGCGCATACATCATCTGACAGACATTAGTGCTGCGGCAGGACTAGCCATGTTATCAATAGTCCAGTACATACCATGTACCCACTAGTCCAAGACACCTCTACACAACGCCTTACATGAATACCATTTTTTTTTTTGAGCTGATGTTTCTGCATTTATTTAAAAATCAAATACACAATATTCAAACAACAGTAATATTATATAACAAATTGACATAAGTAAAATGTGACAACTGAATTACAAAAATAAATACATAGAAATGATTGGAAACCTGAAAGTATGGAGATAAATCAAAGAATCAATATAAATTCAGAGGCCAACTATCATAAGCATGAATGCTTGAGTTGATAGCAGCCAGGAGGAGGGGGAAGGGGCACATGACACTGTTATAGGAGAATGGAGTGTCACGAATACTGATTTTTTTTTTCTTCCAAAAAGTATCTAAATAATAAGTTGGAAGAAAGAAAAGAAAAGAAAAAGGATTGCAATGGGCGCATGTGGGTGTGTGCAGGTGAAGTAAGTGTTTGATTCGGTGTGTTCAAACCATATATTGTTAACAGGTCTATCACTGTTCTGGACGGGAGCTCAACAGCAAGGAATGGGACTCCATGATATGGTCAGGTTAATGTGTGAGCGGACAGCAAAACTAGCAGGAGTCTCCCATCGCAAGGGCTCCCTCGCTGTCGGCATGGACGGAGACATTGTTATTTGGGATCCTGATGCATGCATCACGGTAAGTGCAAGATGTGTTTTAGTCTAAAATACACACAATATTTATCAAAACTAAATCTATCTTATAAAGAGTTGATAATCGCAACTTATTTGTGATTGATATTAATCGCAACTATGTACATTAGAGATAGTAGACTGCAAACTTGCGATTAATTTGGTGGACTTTATAAGATGAGACATTTCATAACTTCATCATTGAGTATAGAGGGAATGCTTCATTCTATTATTTCAAACCAGTAGACGGATAAATGCACACGTGACTTGACTGCTCTTAAAGCCTGTCTGCACTAGTTTGACCAGGAGGGATTAGACCTCCCTGCATGGTCACTGCCAGGTGGTTATCTTATCAAATCAGCTCTCAATTAACATAAGAAAAAGGGGATCATGGGGGACCAACGAATACCCCTTAGGCATTGTTGGCTATATAGAGGGCACAAGTAGATACAAGTAGTGCAGTCCCACTTTAAATCTGTTTAAAGGGTGGATATACATATATGTATCTCGAAAATGTATGTTATGGACCTCTTTTATTAGGAAAGCAGAGAAGATGCATTTTATGAAAATGTTAAAAAGAGAGAAATGACACGTTGTGAATTTTCCTGGATTTTGTGGTGACAGGTCAGGTATAAAACCATGGCCCTGTAACATAAAAAACTCCAATCTTGCTGCACTAAATTGTTTCTGACCATGCGTTGTTGAATATATCCTCAACTTACAGTCATTGTAAATTACTATTTCATGTAAAGTTCGTTCGTTCGTGTCTCCTTAGATCAAGATTAATGTAATCTTGATCTTCGGAGTAGTTGCTACAACCGGCCGTGTCAGACACGTTGCCCCGGGGTGCGAGATAGGACTCTTGTAGCGTGCCCCCATTTAAAACAATTATACAATAACAGTTAACATTACATTTAATTAATAGTATGGAACTATTAAAATTACTCTCATGTTATGATTGATGAATGGAGATGCAATTAATCATAACTTTCATGTTACAGGGCCCATATTCAACATCTTTCATTCCAATTTCTGTTTTTCTACCATTACTGCGTAATAGTCTTAAAGGTAAAGACCAGTTTTGAAAGCACACCCCCCCCCCCCCCCTCTCAAAAAATGAAATGGAAGCTCTTATTACCAAACATGTGAAAGAATATGTTTTGACTAATACTTGATGATACAAATTTTGCTGGGAAACCGCCTACTAATTGATGTATTTGGTAAATTATTATATCTATCTGGACCGGATAGATATTGCACACGTGTCATGCATGTGTCGCGTGGTCCCATATACATCTTTCTGTGTACAGTGCTTGTAACTTGTAACCAAGATTGGGCCAAATTTCTTATCATTTTGATGATTCTAGAACCTTGCAGTAATACACCAATACTTATATGCTAGATGATCAATTTTTTCTGATCGATTCCACAATGTTTCTTTCACAATGTAATTGCATGACCAGAACTGATCTTTACCTTTAATGCGGAATTGGGCATATCTTAACTTTTGTTGTTGTTGATTGTATCTTTGTTCATATATATAGATCCAGCCTGAAAACATTCACCACAGACACAAGGTGACCCCCTACAGTGGCCTGACCCTTAAAGGAGCTGTACAGGTCACCATAGTGAGAGGTCAGGTCGTCTACAAACAGGGTACCTTCAGCGAAACTCATAAAGGATCACTTATTATGTGCGACCCAAGCCGAAAGAGAGAGTCCTTAACACCAAATGCCCACCTCTGAACAAATTTATTGTATGACCAGGGGGGTGTTTCATAAAGCTGTTCGTAAAGTTATGCATGACTTTACGAACGACTTGTATATGAAAAGCCAAATAGGATGCTCAATCATTATTGATTATTATTTATTAAGTTGAACTGTGCAGATGTAGATTAACATTCTTATTATAACAACCATTTTTAAGTATATTTTTTGCCATAATTTAGTTTATTGGAAATTTCAGAACATTTTTTGGGCATCCTATCTGGCACTTCATATACAAGTCGTTCATAAAGTCATGCATAACTTTACGAACTGGGGTGTTTCACAAAGACTTAGATTGACTTGTTGTTGGACTTAACTATGGCAGGCCGTTCATGCCACTGTTTGCTCTCACCATTGGCATTGGTCTCTCAAGGGATGTACAAATCATGGTCACAAATCTACAGAATTTACATTTCTGATAATTCATTATTGAAAGGTAAAATATTATTTCAAGATCATGATGGTGAGAGCAATCAGTGGCATGAACCGCCAGCCATAGTTAAGTTCAACTTAAAATCGATCTTAGTCTTTGTGAAACACCCCCCTGGAATCTGAACTTGATCATGATTTTCTTTACGTGACTACGAGGAAAGGAAGTATATATCCATGTAGATAAGCATAAATAATGAATGTATTTTGTTCTTTTATAGTACTTATCTTGGTATGATGTAATGTCCCTATGCGCTTCCAAAGCACCTTGGACATAATGCTCTTGCATTATGCAAACAGGGGAAATCTATGGTTTCAATTCCTATCTGATGGACGTGGTGATTAGGATCAATGTCTATCTGCAAACTTTCAGTTTACTCATTAAACGAATAAAATAATCAATGAAACAGTGCTTCTAAAGTGCTTTAATTTATTAGTGTGCAATCTCTTTTAACTTTCTATGTTGATTAGGATCAATGACTATCTGTTAACGTTCAGTTTACTCATTAGATTCTGCTAGTATATAATTCTTTAGTGTGAAACCTCTTTTAATTCTCTACCACGGTATGTATTCACTTTTTTTTAACGCATTACTGGAGCTTGACTTGATGACGTAGCAAATGAAGAGATAAGTTTTCCCAGTGTTTAAAGTGGAGTATATGTTGAGTGATTGGATTTATAAAGAAAATATTCAGAAAAATTATTGAAGAATTGATTATGTATTACTAAAAGAATATTTTTGTATTGTGAGATTTTTTTAATCATGAAAATTATCAAAAAATCAACTTGATCTTGGTGAAAACCAAGCATAGTGAAAAGAAATACACACATATATGTTTTGTAAGGCGTAACATGTACATGCAGAATCTAAATTTGGTCAAAAATTATTTCATATTTGAAATACAATGGCATTTTAAGAACAAAACTTTTCATGAAACATCATGTCGCTTGTCTGATATGACTGTATTTCACTTTGGAATAAATTGAATGATAAAATCCACACATTATTTTCTGTTAAACTTCAGTGCCTTGAACTGGCCTAATTGTGCCTTTTCTTGCCCATTCTCTACTCTTTACCTACTATCAATTCAATTTAGATTTATAATACTTATATAATACATACTTAAGATTATTTCTTTTCATGAAATGTTCTGTTTAAAACATGTTTGAAAGGGGAGGGGGGGGTTGCAATAATCAAGCTGTTTTGCTGCCTAAGCATTAGTGTCGTTTAAATAAATAATGATCCTTTTCAAAGATATACATGTACAGGTAATACAGTAATATATTCACTGTTCTCTTTATATCTCATTACTAGAGTTCTGCCTGATCATTTTGGCGTGTGTGGGTGTGGGTGTGCGTTTGTGCATGTACATGATAAAGAAAGGCTGGCATTGATGTTCATTGGGTAATGCAACTGTCCTTTCTTTACAGTAAACAACAAAATTATTCATACCCTTGTCAAGTTTTTTATTTTTTCAAGTGTGTGAAAAATTGATTTGCCCCTATTTCTTGAGAATGTGACATGGTAAAGCTTTCATCTAAAAAGTATTCAACAAAGGGCCTAAGTCAACCAGTCAACCTTTCATTCTTGAGTTATGAAAAACACAAAAAACATCAAATTTATGAAGGGTATGAATAATTTAGATGTTAAATATATTTATTAATTCCTTTTTAAGTTTTAGAATGGTTTCGAGTTTGAAAAGTGTGGTAAAATGAGACAAGTATGTAGCATAAACTTGTTTTTGCTGAAACAGGTAGTCGTCCCTCTTCCCTACTCCACCCCCCCCCCTTCTTATCCTTTTGTCAGGCGTATGCACCATCTGTCCCATACACAAACATAATACACACCCACACACACGTCTCTATACTGATACCCCCCCCCTCTCTCTCTCTCTCTCTCTCTCTCTCTCTCTCTCTCTCATTCACTGGCGCCTCAGTTCAGCAAAGAAACAGTTTTTTGAGTTTCCTGGTTTATTTTTTCCTAAACAAATTATTTTTGAAGAGGAAGGGGAATTCAATGCTGAAATTGATGACTTATAAGCTATAAAACAGCAACCTTTCTCTTCTAACTTTGGAGGGGAAAACGGGTGGTCAGAGTTAACCAGCACTATTAGCCCGGACTATTAGCAACGAGGCGCATGAAAAAAAAATTACATACATGATGTTCTCTGGGCATACGCGAACATACAGTCTGTTTAATTAGAATAGAAGTTCTGAGAGCTATAATAGAGAGAGAGAGGGAGAGAGAGACAGACAGAGAGAGACACAGAGAGAGACAGCTAGAGAGAGAGAGAGAGAGAGAGAGAGAGAAAGACAGACCGACAGAGACAGCGAGAGAGACATGCAGAGACAGAGAGACAGAATATACTTTAAGCTTTAGGTGGAAATAAATAGGCGGAACAAGACGGGATGTCGATTATTTGTTAGATCAAGCTGCTGTTGAGAAGAGTATGACTATAGGGGAACTTGCTTTTCGTGTGTTTTGGTTGTCATATTTATACCTTCTATGTTGTAGGAGGCAATGCACTGTATACAATAAATTGGACGCCGTAGTTGATATTATAGTGCGAACTTGTCATAATAGATGAGTGCATGTGGACATCGATAAAGCTGCCATTATGATATCATGAGCTCGCTGATTGAAGTGAAACCATGCCAACGCCATTATACAACGCCAAAAGTTCAATAAATTCAATTTAATTGACAAACCGTCTGTTGGCCGGGAGCCAGACGGGCATTAACTCAAATAACTGTACAGAGAATTAGCGTCCTTCTTGCTCCAAACAGACGAAATGAGCTACTTATCCCCGAAGTTGCATAATTATACATGTATAGTCATTCAGATATTGTTGTTGATTGCGCCAGCTTGTGTGAAGTAACACGTTAGGTGATGCCGGTGTATAAAATTAATGTGGCGCTTCCATAGAGCTATATAAAAAGACTCTATGGGCGCTTCCCATTTGATACGCCTCAATTAACTATATCACGTCACGTGACCCTCTACACACGCCAGCGCCATCAACAACATCACACCAAAAGTACTAATCCAAAGACAGGTAATGTTTGCAAAAATATGTTTCGTTCCGATGAATATTGATTATTATAATATTGATTCTTCTTACTCTACATTATTTTGTATGTTATTTTCATGTGGGGAATACAACTTTGTTAAATTCTATTTGCTGTACAGTCCACGACGATGAATAAAATGCGGAAAGCTTGGCTAAAAAATAGATATAGTGCAGCTACGTCCTAATGTAGTCTTATTTATACATTTTTTACTGCGCACAATACAGCCTGTCAGTTGTAGTCCACTCCTTATAATGTAGGTACTAAGAAAGTGAGACATGGGCCATGACCAAAAGAGATGAAAAGAGGATAGATGCATTTGAAATGTGGGTGTATCAGCGAATACCAAGGGTTCCGTTGACAGACAGAAGAACAAACCGATGTGTACTGGACAGGCTGCATGGATACAGAGATATATATTGCTCATAAGATGGAAGCTGCAGGTTTTTGGCCATGTAGTAATTATAAGGAGATGGTCTTGGAAAGTCTCTATGACAGGAACAGTAAAAGCCAGGCGAAGAAGAGGCAGACCTGCTAGTTCCTGGTTGAAAGACATCCACATAATTATGGACAGGGGAAAAGCTGTCAGAGGCAACGAGTGCATTCAACAACAGCTAGAGAAGGGTGGCGTAAACTTGTGATGGCCTCAGCAGCGCAGCTATTATAGTGCCACTTGACTGACGAAGACTACGTAGCAATACATTCCGAATTGGTTGAACAATGAACAATGCTATTGATTTCATTAATGCTATTGGTTTCTGAATGCGATGTATTAGTTTATTTGCAATGAATGAAACTGTTTTTCTTCATTTAACAATCGACTGTGACTTTGGTCAAACGATGGTTTTACATGCATTATAATACATCTACTGACTTATGGACACTCGTATATACCTTGTAATCATGATTGGCGACGTTTTCCCAATTACTTCACATTTTAAAGTGTATTTTTAATAGGTAAGAGCATCGAGTCTGATACATATATGCCTAGGGGGAAATTTGAGAGTACCGGTTGGCCAGTTAAGGATAAAACAATCGGATACGTTACATTTCGGCAGTTTTTTACCCTAACTCCTGCTGGTTATTTTACATTAAAACATTATTATTATTATCATTATTATTATCATTATTTTGGTAGTGGTTGTTATTATTATTATTACACTACTTATCATCATTATTGTCCTTGTTATTATAATTGTTATTTTAATACTTTTCTCATTATTGTTGTTATCATTATCATTATTAATATCATATTGTTATTATAATAACTGTCATCACCATCAACATTATAACTAAATTAATGAGAGGGATTATACCAAGGATGTTATTAGAGATAGTAGAAAAGATAGTAGAACAAATATGGCGCGAGTTGAATAAGATCACCTGTAGGAACTTGATAGCAATGTATTGCCTAATCAATTAAGTGCTAATAGACTGAACGATTTTGTTGTTGTTGTTATTCAGTTGGAAAATTGAACAAGCCTAAAAGTTGTGGTTTTACTTTGAAACATCCAGAATGTATATAAATTTGAATTTTAAAGTCTTTCGGAAAGTGATGTTTATGAATTGTTATGCAAATTAGGGAATGGTCAGTACTCGGAACCTTACATAAATGACTTGCCATACCAACTTTCAACGAAAGTCAGACTCTTCGCCGATGACACTGTTCTGTGCCCTACCATCCAGACACACAGAGGATGCAGAATTGCTACATCAGGATCTTGGTCAGCTTTGTGGGTGGTCAAGCAAGTGGATGATGGCACTAGATCCAAAGAAATGCCAGGTCATAA